GCAGCACCCAGGCGCGGGCGCAGAGGCAGGGCCGTCACCTCCGAGGCCCGGTGACACGGTGGCCAGGGACCCGCTGTCGCTGAGTGAGCGGGCGGGCAGCAGCCGGACGGGGCTGAGGGCTCGGGCGGCCGGGGGACGGGGCGGAGGCCGAGAGCCCGGGTAGGGCGGCTCAGAAGCCAGGGGCTCAGGGGCGCACACCGGGCAGCCTGCCTCGGGAGGCTGAGGCAGGAGACACACGGCTGAGGTCAGGCTGGGCTGCACAGCGGGACCGCCTTTTCCCATTCCGGACGCTGAGCCCCCACATGGGACCCTGAGCTCGCACGGGGAACCCCAACCCCACACCTGGGACCCTGAGCCGTACCAGAGACCCCGACCCCCACACGGGACCCCGACCCTGCACATGGGATGCTGAGCCCTCAGCCAGAACCCTGGCTTGCCAGACACGCTCCCGCCCCCCACGGAACCCCTTGGTTCCCTTGGACGGCCCCACCCCGGGCCCGCAGAGGCCCCCAGCTGGACGCCGGCCGCATTCCTCTCCCAAGGCTCCAGGTGCCTGAACACCGCACATCCCCTCAATCCAAAACACGGGAATGCACGGCAGGCAGGGAGCCCAACCCCCTGAGACGGACCAGAGCTTCCCCCAAAAGCGCCTTCTGTGAAGGAAACCGCCGGCCACCCCGAGCCCGACACGCAGGGCCTCCACCCGGGGCGCAGGCGCGGTGCTCACCGCAGCCTCCACAGCTGAGCCCGGCCCGGCCGGGGAGGGGTCTCCAAGCACGCAGTGTCCCTGGGGGACCCCGGACACCCACACTGGGACGTGGAGTCCCAGCTACCAACCGTGGCCTGCGGGGACTCCTCACTACCAACACCGCAGCGGGCCCTGAACACTCAACAGCGCGCAGCAGGGACCCCTCACTACCAGCATCACCTGGGGACCTGTGAGTACCGACACCGGTCCTGTCACCCAGCAAGGCACCTGGAGACCAAGCGCCCTCACTCGAAGACGCAGAGAAAGGTCACTCTCCTTTAAAACAAGCACAGCCCAGCGCGGTGGCACACGCCCGACGTCCCAGCACTCAGGAGGCTGAGGCAGGAGGATTCTGGCCCAAGTCACAGACCAGCCTGGACTCCACGGCCAGACCCCGGCTCAGAAAACCTGACGCAAGCCATCCATCAGACGGCCTCCGCCGGCCAGCCCAGGGGCCCTGAAGTCCGCAGACGCCGCCTGCGGTCAGTCACGGCGTCAGGACTTCACATGGAGTGGAGCAGCGGAAGCAAGTGCCGGGGTGCGGATGCGAACCCCAAGCTCACGCCCCAACCAGGGTTCCCTGCAGGGCCGCGGGGTGCACGGGACAGTGGGGACACATGTGTCCCAGAGCCGGAGGCCACACCGGGTCGGCACGGCCGCACACGCGTCCCGGGACAAGTGGGGCCGCCTCGCTTCTGGCCAGGGGGACGCGGTGGCGGCCGCACAGAGCGAGACACACACACACACACACACACACACACACACACACACACACGCACGGGCACGGCGCTGCCCCGGGGCCGCCCGATGGCCCTCCTGCGCCAGCGGCCCGGCCACCACCTGCTGCCCGGCCACCCACCTGCTGGAAGGCCTTGAGCCGCTTCTTGAAGCGGGAGGGCAGCACGAAGTCGCAGCCGCGGGCCAGCGAGGCCAGCTCCTGCCGCAGGTCGGGGTCCTGGCGCAGGGAGCACTCCCGCAGCCGCATGGC